CTTTCAAGATTGAAAGGATACTTGGTTAATTGGAACAATAAAATAAAAGGGCAAAGAAGTTCATTAAATAACATTTCTTGTTCTACACACAGCTCGCAAATTGCGTGGAGATTGGACTTCCAATGCTTATTCTACTGATCATAACGCAGCAGGTTCAATTCTAAGCCTTATCTGAAACAGTATATTAGAGTTTCATAGTCCTCTGCCTTTTACATGACAACACCTTTTTTACGGTACCACACAGTATTTGAAGCGCATTCACGATACCACACATCATGTGCTTGAGAGGTTCGCTTTACTTCTCTGCATTGGCATTATCTGGGCTTTTGCAGCTGTCCTCACTGTGTCTGGTGCTTACTCTACTACTAAAGTACGTACCCAAGAGAGTTGCCGTACAGATCGCTCCTACCTCCTTTCTTCCGCTCCTGGTATGCTCAGATTCTACAACCTTTATCCATTCGTCTGAACTTCAATGCCCCCTTTTCTTTCTTTTTTTTCCTTGGAAACTGGTATTAAAGTACATGTTATTCTAGGATCAAAATTCCTTATCCGTTTCAGTGGGGTACCCCATATTCAGAGCAAGCCATGTCTTTGGGATGATGGGGGCTGCACTTGTCACCTCCGCAGAGGTCGAACAACTATTCCTTAAAACCATGGTCTTTATGTTATTCTATCTTCCCAGACAATGCGTTAAAATGGATGAAACTGGTTGGAGTTTTCTTTTCTGAAGAAATTTTGAATACTTGATGCAGTCAATGGAACTTTCTTTGCAGCGGCCAGGATTTCTGGTGCAACACCCCCTCCTGCACATGTGCTCAGCCGAGTATTGGGCTGCAAGTGAAGAATTATTCTCATACGCTTATATAGAGAATATATAATCCAACCTGTTTGTTTCTGACCTCCTAGTCCTATGTACAGGGCATTGGCATGCTGCTCGAGGGCATTTTTGGTGCTGCTGTTGGTACTACTGCGTCTGTGTAAGAAAGAAGAGTCCCGAGAATTGTATCACAACTTGATTTACTATCTTCCGATTCTTGTCACCATACTGATTGATACAATTGATGCTACAGGGAGAATGTTGGCCTGCTAGGACTAACTCATATCGGGAGCAGAAGAGTAGTGCAGATTTCATGTGGTTTCATGATATTCTTCTCTATTTTTGGTATACTATGTACCTCGACTTCTTAGTTGAGGGAATTTCATTTCAGTCATGCATTTCTCGATAATTGACTCGCCATGTCCCGAAACGTTCAGGGAAATTTGGAGCCTTTTTTGCATCAATTCCCTTGCCAATATTTGCTGCCATATACTGTATTTTATTTGCCATTGTGGGTAGGTGATTTTGCTATTATTTTTATCCATAGTTTTAGAATACAGACTACTAGTTATCTACATGACATTAACTTTCTGCGTTTTGATTCTTCTGGCAGCTGCTGTTGGGATTTCATTCATACAATTTGCGAATAACAACTCAATGAGAAATCTCTATGTTTAGGGCTAACCTTGTTTCTGGGATTTCCATACCCCAATATTTTTGTCACCAATACAGCACCAGATGGTCACGGTCCAGTTAAGACAGCTGGTGGATGGGTAAGCGAACTTTTCTTCGTTCCAAAGTGATTATTTAGGTCTTTATGGTTATTGGTCAAGTTATCTGATGTAGTTGATTTTGACACCAGTTCAATGACATTTTGAACACCATATTCTCTTCATCCCCTGCTGTGGCAATAATCGTTGGAACGCTTGTTGACAACACTCTGGAGGCAAAACATGCAGCTAACGATAGAGGAGTGCCATGGTGGGTGCCTTTCCAGAACAGGAAGGGCGATGTTAGAAATGACGAGTTTTACAGTCTTCCTCTAAGGATAAATGAGTATATACCCACCAGATTTCTTTGATATCCCCCCATTTTGTGCTTTTTCTTCCGCCTCCTTGCACGTTGACATCGTAAAATGCTGCCACTTTCATACGCAATCTTGGTTGCAATTTCATGAATGGATTCAAGTCTGATAGCAATGTACGCGCATAGTTCAATCAAAAAAATAACGCTTGGTTTATGTCATTGAGGGATGCATATTTTTGTTCCAAGGCGCACAGACGATGCTTTACTTAGTCTATGACAGCTTACCTCATGCATATGACGAAACTGCCATAGCAAAGTTAATCCCGGTAAAACATTAAACTACAAGGTGACGTGAGGTGAGGTCATGGAAATAGAAATTAAAAGTTTCAGAGCCTCCTAATGGGAAAAAAAAAAAAAAGAGAAGAAAAAAGAAAGAAAAATTATATTTCAATTGGTATTTAGGATTCTACAACGATATCTTACACTGACTCCTCTCCTGTGACTTACATATGGTTATATGTACAGACAAAAGCTTGTCTTACAAGCTTCCCCGATTCCTGTAACAACAATGATAAAATGATTTCCCTTCTCCTATACCCTTCCCCGGAGCAAAAATTATGATAGGGCTCTCGGTCTAATGCCTTTCCAAATGGTAGTCATAAGCACAAAACCATGCCCCAAGACCATAATCGTATTCTTTCATTGCGTTTTTTGCTTTGCTAATCATGGTAAACCCAAGTAGTGACTCTAGAACAAGAACCTAGAAGTCCTTCCGCAATTTCTGAATCAAGCTTTTCAAGTTGTCTTTTAACCCACGGAGGGTCATCTTGACTCAGCCATAGAGCTTCGCCAGTATCCCTGTGCTTAAAGTCAGGCAACTTCGAATTTGACTTGCGCTTCCTGTTATCCCACCACTCATGAGGATTGGTAAAAAACACTTGCCACAAGTGAAGCCGGTTTTCATAATCTTGGAAGCGAGTACTTTTCTCTGACGGATTAGAGAATAACGCGTTCGTCCACGACAAACACAAGAAATAGAAAGAACATAGTCAAAGTCAAAGTTATATGAAGCCACGATTTTTAAGATTCCAATTTAATTAAAACCAACTTCATCAAAAATGGAAGATAAGCCCTTTCCAATAAAGGAATATTCGTGTGAGGGGAAAATAGATTTTAAAATTGCAAATGTACATGTGCGCGCATAAAAATTACATAAGAAATATCTTCCCAGGAGCTCCAATCCGAACTATTTTAGATTTCAATCATTACTTCCACTTGCTCATGCCAAGAACTTCGGTTTGTCGAAAATATAGCCTCAATGTTCATATTACTTGGTCCAAAAATATGCAGCATTGTCAAACAAAAAGGATAACTGTCCCTGTGGGGGTGTGAGAGAGAGAGAGAGAGCAGGGAGCGGGTAAGCATGAATAAGCAACATACCTTTAGCAGATTCTAATACCTTATGCCCGTCGTAATATGGCCTTTTGGCAACAAAGTTGAACTCCTTGACAATTACCTTCAGAGAGGGGAACAAAACGAATTGTCAATTGTTTACGTTATGTTACATCACATCCTAAAGAAACTAGAACAAATAGCAAATTCTGTTCTAAAACAGCTCAAGCCGAGAATAATCAGACGAGGAATTACAGATGAATTAGGCATGCAAACAAAAGAAATATGGACCTTATAACACAATCGGATGTTTCCTCTCTCATCAACCTTTTCGTAAGACTCTAAATGACCGGAAGCAAAGATAAAATCGTTTGTTTTAAATGCTTCGAAGCAATTTCCCCCACACCGTTCAACATCAGAAAGAAAACCTGGTCACAAGCGGGAAAAAAATGTTTGCATTACAAACTATTCGCCAAACCATGACTTATGCTAGTAACAATTGTTTCAATTTGCAGCTGCAGAATTTAACTACGGCAAAGTGAATGGGACAATTTAACGCTAGAAAGTAGAAACAACAGGTGAAAATAAAGCACAGATTATAAAAAAGGTTAAACCGCAAGCCAGTTTGAACCCGATCTCACATGGAACAATTCATGGAAGCAAACGCAAACGATGCTATAAATCTACACCTGCAGAATAACAGTTCCAGCTGAACAAGCTCATCAATCTGACCAAACTTATGAACTCAAGTGAGTAACAAATCTCACCAGAAGGACGAGCCGTTGGAGGTTTTCACCCTTAGCGAAGTGTGCACCCCAGAAATACCGGTCTTTCGATTAAAAACCTGAGGATTGCGAGTGACGGAGCCAATTAAATTGACAGTATTGTCGAGCTGTTCGCACCACTCAATAATGGCGGGTCGCTGGAATTTAAGAGCGTGCTGATAAACCGCGCTACCAGCTCGGACGTCGTTGTCGAATGAGTTTCGCAAGTGATTGAGAGTCGAAGATGAAGAGGAGCGATAACTTTTTTGCGGAGAAGATAGTATAGCTCTGGCGAGATGGGAAATAACACGCCGGCACAGCATCGACTGAACCAGCTTAATGAATTCCCTCGGCGCAGATCGTTCAGGCGCACCGGCGTCGCTGAGTGCTTCAAACTTTTCCCGCCGATGCATTGTTTCTTTTGGGAAAAGTGAAATATCTTTCATTAACCTACATTTTTCTGACAGGGAATTCAGTTTTGTGAGTCTTGACTGATTAGGGCGTACTGTGTGGGGGTTTTCGGGGCTGGGCTACAAGCCTACAACGCCGTGATGAGTTCCATTGGGCTCTTAGTGGGCTCGAAATGCATGCCCAATATCGTAATTCAAATCTTAACTTTTTTTCTCTAACAAAAACCTGTCATGTTACGTACCAAAAAAGCCCATCGAAATGACAGTTTGGGCTTGGCCCGCTTCAGGTAAAAAAAAAATTGTAAAAAATCACATGATAAATTAAGTTTCAAATCCCCATATATTTGTATTTAATATATGACAGTATTGTAAATAAGATTGCCTTTAACAATAATAATTTATGTGTACCAGTAGAAAACACCGAAAGATAAAAAGGCTTCTGCCTCTTAGAATCAGGTTTATCATTGACAGAGAATGAAATCCATTACCAGTTTCGATTCTCTAATCAAGAGAAGGGGAAAGGGAAGTGGGAGAAAAGGTGACAATTTCTGAAATGAAAAACGAAGTTCATTACTAGTATTCAGTACACAGACCTCAATATCTGTTCCTCGCAAGTACATGAAGTGTCAATAGTCATGTATTTGCTTTCTGATGATATGTGTCTCTGAGGCGGAATCGAATGCTAATAATGTGTAGGGGTTCGGATCCTTGTTACTCTTTTGTGCTGTGGCAATTTTATTACATCCTTCTGCATTCTGCTAGGGACGATGTGCCGTGATTTCGTGTAGAGAAAGTTCCGATACCCCAGCCTTAGCCACAAAGGCATTGGCTTGCACTTCAGTCCTTTCCGAGTCCTCGCATATATATTAATTTATTATTACTCCCAACGCTCATCCTTCCTTCAAAACTGTATTTTTCTCTTGAACAAACTGAGTGAAAAAATGTTGCTACAATACTTTCCACTGTACTGACTTTCATTTTCTTCATGCGAACTTAGTGTTTCTCTGTGATTTTACAGAAAAGCAAAGATATCTGACACTGTGACGCTTGCCTAGCTGCCTAAAATGTCTGGAGCAGAGGAGTATATTCGCTTTTAGTGAAACGCAGAGGACGGAAAGGCGAATTCCACTTTTTTCCATCTGTCAATTCTGGGGCTCTCCATTCCACATCGTGCTATGCTTTTGACATAGTGACTGACACCTGCCTTATTGCCTGAATATTTCAAATATTCAAGTTAGGGCCGGAACCTGTTGACAAGCTGCCGTATTTTGATCAGTTGAGGAATCGGCGAAAATGGCGTTTCAGACCATTCTTGTCTCAGGGTGTATTATCAGATATAACGATAGTCTGGGTTTTGAATCTGAGCACAAATGAAAGGAGCATGGTTTCGATCCTCAAGACGTTAACTCGGTAACCGATAAGAAAAAGGCCTCACAGTGCTGACGGAGTACTGTACTGGACAATGTATAGTACTATTTTTGGCTTTTTACTTAAACGAATTTGCCGCAACTTTTTCGTATTTTACCACCACGTCACATCCTGCTTTGCTGCTTTATTACATCGAGCACATTTAAAATATGCATGGCAAGTTGGCAGCCTATAAAAAAATCCAACAATGACGCTATAAAGCGGGACACTTTTCAAGGTTGTGTATTTGTCCTCAGCCACCCCCAAACAATGTCCCCTTCACATCCCAATACACACACACACATTCGGTCATGTGCATGTTTTCCCAGCGCTTTTTTTTTTAAAAAAAAGTGGTTCTTTTTCTTGGCTCCTCACGGGCTTCCAGTATTTTTAATTCTCACGTCTGAGGCTTCTGAAAAGGACGGCAACGACCCGTTTTAATTATTATCATTTTTACTACATCAGGTCCAATTTTCAGCTCTTCATGCATTAATTATTTGATGATGACTATTTAGTACAGAACATTATGTTTGCCGATGATTAATTCAAGTGGTTCGCACTTGCAGTCATCGCGCGATAAACAAAATATCTTATTCTTAATTGGATATATACTTTTTCAAACAGTAATAATTCCGGTGGATATCGAACCACAGCTATCAAGTTACTTCTATATGCAAGCTGGCTTTCACATCACCTTCATTTAAAGAAGTTAATTTGAGATATTGTTATAGCACTCAATTACCAAAAGCAATGATGGTCAGTATTTTCTAATGTTACTGATATGGATAAAGCGTGACAAGATCATGTTCAATCCGCGTCGTGTAAATGACCACGATAAGTGTAATCTAGTCAATATGTTATAGTAAATCCATACTAACTAATAATTAAATTGTAATTGAATGAATCTTCGTGAGTAAGTCAAGGTAAGCCAACGGCTTCTACTTCTGGGACGCTGTTTTTTCAAAATTCCTTCTCGAGGTTTGTCTATATTAGGTTGAACCGTAGGGTCCATCAAGATTCGAAAAATAAAGTTTCAAGATTCTACATTATCTCATGCTTTAAGTTTTCAGCTATTTAGGGTGGCCATACTATCATGAACTAAACACATTTTTTCTGTACATTTATATGAACCAACCATGGCGATGTTGATCCACACACACTCATATATTTGTGATATTCAGCAAAACTGCAATATTTTTTATTTAATGAAATTAATATCGAGAAAAAAATATAAATCCTTTCATATGTTTGTCTGACCATTTATCGGTTAGCCCACCTTAGGTCCGTCCGATGAACTTGGGGTCCATATTCAAGCCGAATAATCAGTCAGATTTCTAGTCAATGTCCAAACAACCATCATTTTTTCTCAAACACAAACCAAGTGGGACGTAATTGTTTATACATTTCTGTTCAATTCTACTAAATAACTGCCACTCTTGCCTATAAACAGAAGTATATTTATTAGAATCTTTGATATTATTTTTGCTTTGTTTGCAAGTTTGTGATTCTGCCAGCTACACAACCAAAGTCATCATTGTCCATTGAATACTAAAAACCAGTTTACAAAAGCGTGTCCTTCTATTTGCCAGCTTTTATTTATTTATTATTATTATTGGTTATTTTTATCCTCTCAAAACAACCCTCAACGGATCCCTATTTCCCAATTGTAAAATTTGTTTAGACGATGATTCTCAAATTAACTGTGAGACTCTAGTCTCGATAAGAAAGATTTAATTCTGTTAAGTAATTAAAAAAATAAAATGCAATAACATGATTATTATTAACATGCAAAATAAAATTCACAACAATTCTCGTCATTTACAGGCAGTTAACCGCGGTGTGACTTAGCTTGTTGAGTTATTTCTCAAATATCAAACTTTACGCAATGTATAAAGAAATGTGTCTATTTATAACAAGCATCAAAGGAGTTATTTACATTTTAGATATTTCCAAAGGAAATTCCAATGAGAAGATGATTATGTGATAAATGAATATATTTTGCACGTGTAACGTTTAAATGAAGAATGATCTTATCTCTTGAGGCGTAAAAAATGAATGAACGAATATAAATAAAAAATGTTACCAGCTCAATATTTAAAAAAAATTATGGATTAAAATTAGATGAAATGTGTAGTTAAAGATTAAAAGGAAAAGAACTATGGCAAAGCCAGAAGAAACTATTCTATCTTAAATGATATTTTTTTAATACAAGGCCACGGCAAAACCGTGCAAAAAGACTATAGTCTAGTCATATCTAAAATCATGAGGTTATTACAGTCTATCGGAGGAAAATCTAAAATCATAATGTTAAAAGTATCATGCATCGATCGATGAGCTAATAGGTCAGCACATTTATTCACTTCTCTATAAATGTGGTCAAAGGTAACAATCCAGTTTCTCATTGTGAGTTCTTTGATCTTCCTAATGATGCCTGATAATGGATGACTTCCGCGGTATCCTCTGTTGATAAGCAACAATGCTACCACAGAATTGGTGTGAACATTGATTTTAGTTAAATTTATATTCCGGCAGAGATTGAGACCTTCGAGAATTCCCATAAGTTTGGCTGAAGTGCTTGGTGTAACACACCAAAAATTTTTTTTTTAATAATTTAACTCAACCATAGTTGGGTTACAGCCACCCAACACATTTTTATATCAATAATTTCGATATAAAATATTTTATAATTGGCTTCAACTCACACACTATAACATTTCAGATAAATTTTTACCTCCCACATGCCATTAGGCTAAATTACATTTGTCCATCCTTATACTCCCAACAAGTAAACTAAATCACATTTGTCCATTCTTATACTCCCAACAAGTAAAATAAGCAATTTAGTCAATTTTCAACACAAGCCAGTTATTTGGCCTTATAATCATGCCATTTTAACCAATCTAAAGTAAATCAAATATTAAAATTACAGTCATCCAAATTGTACCAAAAATAGAAATAGTTTGAAAGGCATGATTACATTTATATATTTATATAATTGACAATAAACAAAAAGCCCTAATATTGGCAATATAACACATTATAAATCATAAATTAAATACCCAAAAGAGACAGTGGATCTATACCACTAAGTCTCTGGGACTCCTCCACGTGTCACTCTTGGCTCTTCTCCTGAAAATTATTAACCACATAATGAGACTCAAAAGTCCCAGTAACCAAAGCCAATTTATGATAGTGTATACAAACAGTTAAGTGTGTGCTTACTAAGTGAGAATTAAAAATAATATAATTCCAACAAATATAAGAAATTTTATAATAAACACAAACAACCATCCTTATATCCCTCCATTAACCTCGAGCTATAGCCCTCACTCGGTGCTAAATTACCCGGCCAAAGGTAAATTAGCCCGAGCCCTTACAAGCCACCTATTGAGCTCCAATAGAGACGTACCACGTGGCACATAAATACAACAATAATAGCAAGTCTCCCAACACCTCCCACAATAATCAAACAAATTCATAATAATATTGCACAATTATACAATATTACAAAATTCATAATTTTCTCAATAATCATCCAATTAACATGAAGTAACACTAATCACAAATTAAAAGCATGGTTACCTTGTGGCTTTTTCAATAAATTATTCCTTAAAATTTCTC